TTTTTTTTGGTCTTCTTGATTGGAAAGGGTGATGGCATGCACATATCAGTATCAACATCGACAGTCGGAGGTGTTCACCACCTCAACACATGCAGCAACAACGTGCAATCGTGTTATGTCTGGTCGGCTTCGTCCATTCACACAAAAAACGAGAGCAAAAGAACGGTTCATATGTTGCAAAAGACACTGGCGAATGTAATTTGTGGTTTAGGAACTCGTACAACAGATTCAAACATTATTGTGATGAGCAAGGATAAGGACAGACAAACACGCGCACACACACAACACTAATCGCACACGCAGAGTCGCAGACACAAAAAGAAAGCCATACAAATGGACAACAAAAGTACATGTCGTATAACCTCTGTCTTCTTTCGTCAACAGTGCCATCGCACCGAACATTATCGTGACTCCACATAACCGGAGATGGACATTGATTGCTTCCTTGGCAGGAAGGATTGACCCGTCTCCAGTTCGCCCACTTCACACTATCATCACTCGATATGAACGGAGATGGGCATTGATTGCTTCCTTGACAGGAAGGATTGACCCTCTCCAGTTCGTCCGCGTGGAAGAACCCAAACCCTGCTCCCATCGACGCAGTACAAAGACATGTGCGCACACGCTCGTCATGCACACGAGACAAGGTCCGCGAACCGCTCCAATCACTAATCGGCAATCAATCCTCCTCCCCTCCACCGACGGTCCCCACTAATCGCCCGTCATGCACACGTGGAAGGCCATCGCAGCGGCGCCTGAACAGTGGCATCCATGCGCCTGCCGCTACGTACGAACACTCGACCTCACCACCTGTTACGCGCGGCCCTGAGGTCGTCCTTCGGGCACCAAATTCGGATAGCGCCATGAAGGTACCCCCTGCCACGAAGGGGAGGCTCAAATTCCGCACTATACGACGCATTCGCATCCATGGCCGCCAGATGTTCCTCGGCGATGGCGGAGATGAGGTACCTCACCATGTCGCCCACGATGTCAGGGTTCGGCGTTTGCCACGTGTCGGGGACAACATTCGATAGTTTCCGCACCCGCAGTACAACCTCCACTAGGTTGTACTCCCCGTCGTAGCCTAGCCATGCCACGATCCGCATGGCCATCAAGCCGTTCACCAGTGCGTAATAGACACGCGTGTCGTTGGTTTGCACGCCAGGGGCCCAATCCATTTCGCGGTCGCGCTCGCTCCCTCGCTCAAGCTTTGTCTCCTGCACGACGACCTCCTTCCCGTCGATCCTCTCCCTCACAACGGCCACGACGTCCGACATCTCTCTCTCTCCCTCTCTCTCTCTCTCTCTCTTTCTCTCTCTCTCTCTCACACACACACACACTGACACACACAGACACACACACGATGTCGACGTCTACCCTCTCCCTCACCACGGCCATGACATTCGTCACACGTCGAGAACAGCGAAGGGCGAAAAGTGGCAACCCTCCCCTTCCGCACGATACCTTCGCGAGGAATACGCAACACACTGCTACAGACCACACAGTCGCCCTATATATAGCCTGTCTCTTATACACATCTAGATGTGTATAAGAGACAGGCTCTGGCGATCTCGTTTATGAGCTTAGAGTTAGTAGAAAGTTAGTAAAAAAGGAGCTACTTGAGAAAGGTGTTGCGCGGAGGTATCGTGAAAAA